GGGAGGAGAGAGGAGGGAACTGGAGGGAGGAGGGATCGTGGATGGGAGAGGCAGGAGGATAGGTCATTGAGTGAGGAGAGGGGGGCGAGCACCAGAAGGATGAGGAGGACTAGGACAAGGGAGAACAATCGAGGATGAGACGGAGGGGTTGGAGGAAAAGGAGGCAGATTGTGGAGAGCGGAGTCAGGAGGGGGAGTAATCTGGAGGAGAGAGGGGGCACTCAAAACATTGAGGTAAGGTCCACTGTGGCTTTGCAAGTGGCTCGATGCGCCCTTCATCGGGTCTCTCCCCAAGGTGCTCCCCTTTCCCCAGAGGTCTGGACACTTCCCAGGGACTGGCTTTCTATCTTCAGTCGTTTCCTGACGGGCTTGGGGCCCGGCGAGGGCCCTCGGAGGTCGTAAATCGGCTAAGAACCTCCTGCCGCGATATTTCCACGCCGCGAGGGGGCTTGGTGCTCTGGTCATAGCTCGGGTCTCTGGCAGACGATCCGGACATCCTCAGACAGCTCTCGACCAGCGCAGCTGATGGAAATCCCCCAAGGCCCCCCCCCTCCACCAAAACAATTATCCTGGCGAGGGACCCAACCATTTGCTGTTGTGGGTGCCGCAATTGTGAACATCTTCTTTGGTGAAGCTCCCTATGGGGCCACGAAGCGCTGCACTGGGTGGGGGGGACGCATGCGGGCGGTAGCACTGGGGCCGTCGGTGGAGCTCCCTATGGGGCCACGAAGCGCTGTACACATTGGGTGTGTGGGACGCATGCGGGCGGTCCCACTGGGGGCTCCGGTGGAGCTCCCCATGGGGCCACGAAGCGCTGCACTGGGTGGGGGGGAACGCGTGCGGGCGGTAGCACTGGGGCCGTCGGTGGAGCTCCCTATGGGGCTACGAAACGCTGTACTGTGTGTGTGTGTGTGAAAATATGTTCCGGGACGCATGCGGACGGTGGCACTGGGGGCTTCGGTGTAGTTCCCTATGGGGCCACGAAGCGCTGTACTGGGTGGGCGAACATGCCACATTGGGTGTTCCAGGACGCTTGCGGACGGTCTCATTGGGGGTTTCGGTGGAGCTCCCTATGGAGCGACGAAGCGCTGTACTGGGGGAGTGAAAATACAAAATTGGGTGTTCCGGGACGCATGCGGACGGTGGCACTGGGGGCTTCGGTGGAGCTCCCAATGGGGCCACGAAGCGCTGTACTGGGTGGGTGGAAATGCCAAGTTGGGTGTTCCGGGACGCATGCGGACGGTCCCACTAAGGGCTTCGGTGGAGCTCCCTATGGGGCCACGGAACTTTGTACAGTGTAGGGGAGAATTCTGAACTGGATGTTCTGGGACGCATGCGGACGGTGGCACTGGGGCCGTCGGTGGAGCTCCCTATGGGACCACGGAACGCTGTACTGGGTGGGTGAAGATGCAGCCAAATTGCGTTTCTGGGACGCATGCGGACGGTCCAACTGCTGTGGGCTTCGGTGGAGCTCCCTATGGGGCCACGAAGCGCTGTACTGGGTGATTGAAAATGCCAAATTGGGTGTTCCGGGACGCATGCGGTCCCACTGGGGGCTTCGGTGGAGCTCCCTACGGGGCCACGGAACGCTGTACTGGGTGATTGAAAATGCCAAATTGGGTGTTCTGGGACGCATGCGGACGGTCCCACTAAGGGCTTCGGTGGAGCTCCCTATGGGGCCACGAAATGTTGTACTGGGTGGGTGAAAATTGCCGAATTGGGTTTCCGAGACGCATGCGGACGGTCCCACGAGGGGCTTCGGCGGACGAAACGCTGCACTGGGGGGGTGAAGCGCAGGGAGGGAGGAGGAGGGGGGAGGGGGAGGAAGGAAGGAGGGAACGCGGGGACCGTCCCTTCAAAACGAGGACCCAACACCACAGGATGGGTGGGAATCAACACACATCCGCACCCAGCATGCCCCAGCAACCCAGCCAGGGCCAAAAACCACAGGGTGTGCCGAAGCCGCATCGGAAGCGCCGCGCCGGCAGAGTCACCCTGGGAGCCAGGGCCCTCTTTCGCTGGGCCCTCGCTCCTGCGCTGGCCGCCGCCTTTTCCAATACGGATTCCCCAGAGGCCTCGACCCGTTCCCGGAGACCTGCTTCTCATCTCGAGCCCTTCTCGACGGCCCGCAAAGACCCGCGAGGGTTTTGAGGAGGTTGGAGAATAAGCAGATGCTGCGTTTTCTCAGAGCGTGAATTACCTACCTCGCTTTCGCTTCCAGGCAAAACCAAGTCATACCACGCGCCTCCTCGTCAAGCGGCCTGACCAGTACAGGCCGTAGTTTGGCATCGCTTGGTATCTCTTGGAAGCGAGGGTGGTCAAAAGCGAGGTAGGTTTGTTTTCCCCCTAAATAAGCAGATGCTGCTCTTTCCTTGTCCAGGAAACTGCCGATCCTCGACCCTGCGCCCACCGCGGCGGCGACGGCGAGGGGGCCGAGTGAGGGCCTCCGGAGCGGCCGACTGGCCGAGTGGCCTCGGGCGGCGCGCGCGCGCGCTCCTCGCCCGTGAGCAGCCTCCGCCCCGGCGAGCTCTGCGGGCGGATCTGTTCGAGCCGATTCGATGTGGTTCGATCCGGTTCGACGCGACTCCGAACAGGAGGAGGAGGAGGAGGAGGAGGAGGAGGAGGAGGAGGAGGAGGAGGAGGAGGAATACGGTTCGATATCGGTCCGATTCCCAGAAGATGTTCCGATCCGATGTTGAGTCGAGCTCCAGTTCTCGATTCCCGATGTGGCGAATGCCGACCCGGTCCCGATTTCAAAATGTTCGACGGGATTCCGACTTCGATCCGGCTTCCCTATTCGATGTTGGCCCTTGTCAGGCCTGGCGGCGCAGGTCTCCTGGACGGAGAGTCGGGGGGGGGTCCGCGGCTCTCCAAGATCTTCTGCCCAGGCGTCATCCGCGAGAGGGGCTCCCCCTGAGCCCCTGGTACGCGGTGGCACCCCACGCGGCTGAATTTGCCGTGCTTTCCCTCCCCAGTCGTGGCTCCCTCGGCATATCGCTCGACTTTGCGCTGGAAGCCTCCCGGAGACTTTCTGTTCAATGCCGTTCTCAGGCCTGTCGCTCGCTTCCTTTTGGCCTCTCGGGCCCCTCGCGTGGCGGTCGTTCTTCGATCGGGTCTCTTCTGCCGCTGTCCACTGCTCCGTTGTGGCGCGGCCCTTCCTCCAGCAAAGCTCTCAAGCCAGCCTCTCTTCGGATGGATCGGCACGCCTCAGGTTGCTTCTAATGCGGAGAAGCAGCCTGAGGCGAGCACTAGGACGAGCAGAGAAGACAAGGAGTAGACTGTGCTCCTCGTGTTCTCTCCTCGTGCTAGTCTTCGCCTCCTCATCCTCCTCCATATCCTCCTCCTCGACACCGTGGCTATCCACCATCCCCCGCTTTTGGGCTCGTGATTGTGCTCCCCCGTTCACCTTCCCCCGCTTCCAAGCCTCTGCGTGTTTGGAAGTCGCAGGCCCCATCGTGCCCCGAAGATGCGTCAGAGGCAATCCTTCTCGTCCTCATCCTCCTCCTTTTCTCGACCTTCTCCTGTTGGCTGTATGACCTGCTTGTGTCTCACCGCTTTCTCTTTTCCAGGCCTGGGTCCTAGGACCCAGGCCAATCCTTCTGTTCCATGCTTCCCCCTCCCTCCTCGTCCTCCTGCTCATGCTCCATGTTTCACCTCCCAGGCTCCATGCCTCCGTCCTCCTCGTGCTCCATGCTCCGTGCTCTCCCGCTCCATGCTCCAACCTTCTGCTCCAGCTCCAGGCCTCCTCCTCCTCCTCCTTCCTCCTCCTCCTCCTCCTCCTCCTCCTCCTCCTCTCACCTCCTCCTCCTCCCCCCCTCCCCTCCTCCTCTACTCCTCCTCCTCCTCCTCCTCCCCCTCCTCCTCCTCCTCCTCCTCCTCCCTCTCCTCCTCTCCTCCTACACTTCCTCCTCTTCCCTTCTTCTTCTCTTCTTCCGCCCTCCTCCTCCCCCTCCTCCTCCTCCTCCTCCTCCTCCTCCTCCTCCTCCTCCTCCTCCGTTCCTTTTCCTTATAGATGACTCCTCCCTGTCGCGCCCCGAGGCTGGTCGAAAGGGCGGGCCGGGCGTTCCGCCTGAGGCTTCCTCTCCAGTTAAAAGAACTGACGACAGCTTCAACATGTGGCTCTCGCCTGAGCGCCGCGCGCATTCGTTCTTAAACCTCTATGAGTTTCACAGCTTGAGGGCGGGTGAATTTTAAGTTGTGGCTCTCGCCTCGACGCCGCACATATCCGTGAAAAAAGTGAAAATCTTGTTGGTGTTCCACGGATTGAGGGCGGGTGGTTTTCAACATGTGGCTCTCGCTATAGCGCCGCGTACATGTGTTATCAAAGTTTGTAGGCGCTTCACGGATCGAGGGCGGTTTTTTTCCACATGTGGCTCTCGCCTTAGCGCTGCTCAAGTTCGCATTAAAGAAATGCAAGAGCTTCACGGCTTGAAGGCGGTTCGTTTTCAACATTTGGCTCTCGCCTAACACCGCGCGCACTCGATTAAACAATATTGCGGGAGCTTCGCGGATTGAGGGTGGATTGTTTCAACATGTGGCTCTCGCTTCAGCGCCGCGCACATTCGTCTTTGACATTTGAACGAGTTTCACGGCTTGAGGGGGGCGGCTCGTTTTCAAATTGTGGTTCTCGCCTCAGCGCTGCGCACACTCGTATTACACGTTTGCAAGGGTTCCATTGATTGTCATGGTTAGCGTGCGATCCAGGATTGCCAGGGCGCAACAGTTACGTTGCTCCGCGGTGCTGAATTCCCAGGAATGGCGTTCTGGCGCGATTCAGGATCGCCAATACGCAGCAGTCAGATGAACTCGTGGCGTTAAAGTCCTGAGATCGGTGTTCTGGCAGGCCCCCAGATGTTTCACGCTGCTGTCCCCCAACGGGGTAACTTCCCCAGTGCAAATGATCCCTTGTATGGGGCCTATGAAGAGGGATGTTGAATGGAGGGTGTACTTCCACATCGCTGATCAGTCTTGACTCCTCCTCCCCCCCCGCGCGGAGGCGAGGCGCCGCTGGCCGTGGGGCGGCGGGGCGCGGCCGCGGGCGGAGGCGGAGGCGGTGCTCTCGGGCCGCTCCAGCCGGACAGGCGCGGCGCCCCGGACCCCCTGGCCCGCGGCCCGCTCTTGGGCCCTCGCTCCTGATGGGTCATCTCGGGTCCTCTTCGGGTCCTGCCTTCACGGCTGCAGATATTCCAGTATCGGCGCCAAAGGTTTGGAACCAGTGTGGTCGGTACTTACGCGGACGACGACAGCGACTCCGACTACTGCTCACAACGCGTCTTCTGATGCCCCCCGGCTCCCCCGCGCCGCCCTAGTATGGCCACTCCCGCTGGACCGACATCGCGCTCGCATTGCCTCGCCTCGCCTCTCGGCTTTCGAGTCTTGGATCGACTACATAATTTTTCAACCCCTGAATTGATTTGTTCGTCGGCTGTTCCGTAGATCTACGGAGTAGTCCACGTATTTTCTCGCAGGCTCGACGGGAAAATTAATGTCTGGGTAATTCAATTATGTAGTCGATCCACTACTCGAGGCTTTAGTGGTCCCCAAGAAGCGGTGCGCTGGCCAAGCCGTGTGGGGGGTGGATGAGGATAGGCTAGGCTAATAGGCGGTTTTCGGAAGCTTCTTGGAGTTTTCGAACGTTTCCGTGACCCTGGGTGGTTTCCATCAGCTGCGCCTCGCCGAGGGCGTTCTGGGGGTGCCAGAATCGTTTCGAATGGCCGCTGGAGAGCCGAGTTATGGTCGAAAACTAGACGACGAGGACCACACTGTGTGGTAAGTCGGTGGGGATTCGGAGTGACTGCGCGGAATGTCTCGGTCAGTTGGGGGCCTCGAAGGTCCCAAGACCGTGCGGTGGCGGATCGTGCGGTGGGGTCTCTGTAGGATTTCGAGGCCACCACGCAGTTAGTCACCGCACTGATTGGAGATTTCCAACGGCCACGTCTTTGGGGCCATGGTGGGCCGTCTTTGGCCTGTCTTGGGAGTCTTCGGGGCCTCTCGAGCCTGTCTTCGAGCCCTCTTGGGGCTGTCCCCACCCGACGACGACGACGACACCGACGACGACGACGCCGACGCCGACGACGACGACCATGGTAACGACGACGACGACGCCGACGACAACGACGACGCCGACGACGACGACGACGAAGACGACGACGACGTCGCCAACGAAGACGACGACGACGAGGGAGGAGGGAGGACGACGACGGCGGCAACGACGACAACGACGAGGGAGGAGGGAGGACGGACGACAACGACGAGGGAGGAGAGAAGACGACGACGCCGACGACGGCGACGAAATAGGAGGGACAACGACGAAATGCGACGCCAAGACGACGACGACGAAGAAAGACAGAGGACGACGACGGCGACGACGACGACGACGATGAGAGAGGAGGACGGCGGCGACGACGACGACGACGCAAGAGCGCGTGCACACTCTTCTGTTGAACATCCGTGTTGCGAAACCTTTTGTTTTGTATGTTTTTTGGACACTCGATTTTGAAGTCCTTCCGAAACCGAAGGTTTTCGAAGGACTTCGGCATGCGCGCGCGACGACGCGCTCGTCTGTACTTCGCTTCATTTTTTGCAGATGATTCTTGCGACGGCACGCGCGCAAGGGCCTTCGAAAGATTTCGACATGCGCGCGCGAAGCCCGTTTGGTAGCATGTTTTGGAAATCTTGAAAAACAAATGTTGTCTTAAGATTCCGAAAGAGCAAATCAGTGTTACGAACCCCTGTGCTTTTGTAGGTGTTTTGGAAACTCGATTTTGACATCCGTCCGAAATCACAGGTTTTTGAAGGATTTCGGCATGCGCGCGCGACGACGCGCGCGTGTGCACTTCGTCCCATTTTTTGCGCGGGTTTATTGTCAACTTATGATTTTTGATCAACGAGAGTGCGCGCAGAGCAGGTTTTGCAGAGGATGGTGGGGGGGGCGCTACCGGTGTGGCTGGGATAGTACGAATTTATTTGTAGGATGGACGATGGGGTATCATCATATGCGAATTGCAATACGAAAAGGTGACCCGTTAATTCCGGGGTGGGGGGTAGAGTCTATTTATCCGTAAGGGCTTCGCCCCCTGCCGCCGGCCCCCTCTCTCGGAGAATGGGCCATGGAAGAGCTAAGTCATGAGGCCTTGGCGCTGTCGTGAAGCAGTATCGAAACTTCATGCGAAGCCGATTCGCAATCAGCAAAACCAACTGATCACAAGAGGGGTTACCACACCTGGCGATTGGTAAGACGTGTATGGTTTACGGGCTTGGTTACCACACCTTGCGATTAAAGGGCCGAGGGAGTTCTCGCAGTTTGGGTTACCACGCCTTGCGATGGATGTGCGTGAAGGGTGGCACCGAATTTCAGAAATGTGGCAAATCCCCTGTGTTTTTGGACCCTGACCCCGCGGATCTGCGTGAGGGGTGGCACCGAATTTCAGAAATGTGGCAAATCCCCTGTGTTTTTGGACCCTGACCCCGCGGATCTGCGTGAGGGGTGGCACTGAATTTCAGAAATGTGGCAAATCCCTTGTGTTTTTGGACCCTGACCCCGCGGATCTGCGTGAGGGGTGGCACCGAATTTCAGAAATGTGGCAAATCCCATGTGTTTTTGGACCCTGACTCCGCGGATCTGCGTGAGGGGTGGTACCGAATTTCAGAAATGTGGCAAATCCCTGTGTTTTTGGACCCTGACCCCGCGGATCTGCGTGAGGGGTGGCACCGAATTTCAGAAATATGGCAAATCCGTTGTGTTTTTGGACCCTGACCCCGCGGATCTGCGTGAGGGGTGGCACCGAATTTCAAAAATGTGGCAACTCCCTTGTGTTTTTGGACCCTGACCCCGCGGATCTGCGTGAGGGTTGGCACCGAATTTCAGAAATGTGGCAAATCCGTTGTGTTTTTGGACCCTGACCCCGCGGATCTGCGTGAGGGGCGGCACCGAATTTGAGAAATGTGGCAAATGCCCTGTGTTTTTGGAACCTGACCCCGCGGATCTGCGTGAGGGGTGGCACCGAATTTCAGAAATGTGGCAAATCCCCTGTGTTTTTGGACCCTGACCCCGCCGATCTGTGTGAGGGGTGTCGATTTCGAGCCCCCCCAGCAATTCAGACAACGCGCCCAGCAGGTGCTAAATATTTGGTTTGGGCCTCCCCCCCCCTCGCGCTGTCAATCAACTAGTTACAGTAACCAGCAAGAAGCAGAACTGTAACACTGGAAACTACAAGCTACAACTGGTACAGGAAACTGCGAATCCCGCTCCTACAGCCTGGTGGCCCCACAAGGGGGCCGGCGGATTCTTCTTGTAGAAAAGAAATTCGATGTTGTGCAATCGATGGGGCTCAAGTTGTGGTGCAATGTATGTGGTGCGCCCTGCCGAGCTTGAAGTTGTCTACTCTACTGCTCGCGCAATCCTTCCACCCACCTGCCCGCAATCCGGTTTGCAAAACAATTGCGGCGGCGATTGCGATGACTGCTTGGCGCTGGCTGGCGAATCGCTGCGGCCGCGCTAGCGCGCGCAGGCTCGCGCGACGAGTGGCCAGCTAGGTTGGCGCGACCGACGCGGCCGCGGTGGCGCTGACTGCAGGGGACTTCCCACCGAGTCGGTGGCTCGGGCGAGCGCGGTACCATGACGGCGTCGACGACGGCAGACACGATGATGATCGTAGCGGTGTTGGTCATGATGGTGACGATGATGACGGCAAGGCCGATGACGGCGCCGATGCTGGTCACGCCGATGACGATGATGACGTCCACGCGTCAGTGATGAGAGTCTTGGAAGGATTTCGACATGCCCGCGCGGCCGACGTGGGCCTGCATGGTTTTCTTCGACAGGGATCGCTCCCCCCGCAAGCGGGCAAACATGTTCGAATGATTTCGACGCGTGCGTGCGAGAGGCCCGCTGGGTCACAAAATATATGAACTATTGTTGAACAAGAGTGGCTCCCCGAGAAGTCGCAAGAGTTCGCGCGCAGCTCTTTGTTCCCCACTTCGGCTTGCCTAATGGGTTCTTGCTCGGTTAAAGGTTGGTGCCTCCTGTTGCTACTTTGCCCGTTGCTCGGAGGTTCCTCGGGTTCCTCGGGCTCCCCGCCGCCAGTACCACCTATTTGTTACATTGCCCGTTTCTCGGAGGTTCTTCGGGTTCCCCAGGTTCCTCGGGTTCACCGCCCCCGGTTGCCCCCAGCAATGCCGAGCAATGCCAAGCAATGCCAAGCAATGCCAGGCAATGCCAAACAATGCCACGCAATGCCAACCCATGCAAGGTAATGCCAAGCAGTGCCACGCAATGCCAAGCAATGCCAAGCAACGCCAAGTACTGCCAAGCAATGCCAAGCAATGCCAAGCGATGCAAAAAGCTATGCCAAGCAATGCCAAACAATGGCAAGCAATGCCAAGTGATGCGCCCAGCGATGCGCCCATGCAGTAGGCTTACCCTATTTGGGGTCGCGCCAGGTTCATCGTTTGAAAAAAACCTCGGGTGTCAAGAGACGGGGGTCAATGCAAACGGGGGTCAACCAGAGCGCCCGATCTTGCAGGATCCTGCAGGGCCAGGGCCGCAGTGACCCGGGCTTGGGTGCACGATCCTGCAGGATTTTGCAGGATCCTTCGCATTGACCTGGGTTTGGGCGCAGGATCTTGCAGGATACTGCAAGGCCTGACTGACCCGGGTCTGGATTGACCCGGGTCAGCAAATCCCCGAAATCCGTTTGGTAATAAGAGCGATGTTGCAACACCATTGCGTTTGTTTCTAGGTTGTCGGTCAGCTCGATCTTGAACGCCTTGAAACACCTAAGTCTTTGAAGAATTCTGGCATGCGCTCGCGACGACGCGCGCGTGTCCAGTTTGGTCCACTTGCTGCGAGGGATGGTTCTACATGTATGGTTTTTTCCACAATCCTGCTTGCCTAAGGCGTTCTTACTTGGTTAAAGGTTGGTGCCTCCTTTTACTACTTTGCCCGTTGCTCGGAGGTTCCTCGGGTTCCTAGGGTTCCTTTAATTCCCCGCCCCTGGTGTCTCCTATTCAGGGGTTCTGACTTGGTTACATGTTGGAGCCTGGAATTCATATTATGCCTGTTCCCTAGAGGTTCCTCAGGGTCCCCGGGTTCCTCGGGTTCCCCGCCCCCGATGCCTCGTATTCTTACGTTGCGCGTTCCTCGGAGGTTCCTCGGGTTCCCCGTGTTCCTCGGGTTCCCCGCCCCCGGTGCCTCGTATTCTTACGTTGCCCGTTCCTCGGAGATTCCTAGGGTTCCCCTGTTTCTCTGGTCTTGTAATTTGATTTGGTTCATCGGGTTCGCCGTTCTTGTTTCTCGGGCTTCCCGGCATTGCAAAGAAGCAATGCCAAGCAACAGCGCCAGTGCAAAGCAATGTTAACCCTTGCAATGCAATGCCACGCAATGTCAAGCAGTGCCAAGCCATGCCAAGCAATGCCAAGCAAAGCCAAGCGATTTCAAGCAATGCCAAGCAATGCCAACCCATGCAGAGGCCAAGCAATGCCATGCAGTGCCAAGAAATGCTGAGCAATGCCAAGCAGTGCCAAGCAATTCCAAGCAATGCCAAGCAATGCCAAGCAATGCCAAGCAGTGCCAAGCAATGCCAAGCAATGCCAAGCAATGCCAGGCAATGCCAAGCAATGCCAATCAACGCAAAGCAATGCCAACCCATGCAAAGCAATGGCACGCAATGTCAAGCAGTGCCCAGGAATGCCAAGCTATGCCAATCAATGCCAAGTAATGCAAACCAATGCCGAGCAATGCCAAACAATGCCAAGCAGCGCCAGGTGATGCGCCAAGCGATGCGCCCATGCAATAGGCTTTCCTCTAGTTGCGGTCGCGCTGGGTTCATTGATAAACGAGTGCGCGCGCATTGTTGTATTTGACAGGGATGATGGGGAGGGTCGATAACGGCACTCCCTGTGACGGGGTGGTTCATATTTAAGATGAACGATGGGGCAGAGTGATCTGTAAGATGCAGTGTCCCAGGGGGTGTCGATGAAGCGGGGGGGGGGGGGTAGATCCTAATTTTAGAAAGGAGAACACGTTTTGTGCAATGTGTGTTGTGTAATCTGCGTTGTGCGATCTATGTGGTGCATTCCGCTCTGCCGAACCTGAAGTTGTGCACCCCACTGCTCGCGCAATCATCCCACCCACCAACCCGCATCTTGGTTTGCACAACAAATTCGGCGGTGATTGCGATGACTGCTTGGCGTTGGCTGGCGTATCGCAGCGGCCGCGCTAGCGTGCAGGCTCGCGCTCGCGTTGAGCGGCCTGCTAGGTTGGCGCGGCCGACGCGGCCACGGTGGCGCTGACCGTCGGGGGCTTCCCAGCGCGTTTCGCAGGCTGCGCTAACGCGCGGGCACTTCACTGCGAGTCGATGATTCGGGCGGGCGCGGTATCATGGCGACATCGGCAGCGGCAGGCACGATGATGGTTGTAGCGGTGTTGGTGACGACGATGGTGATGACGACGTCAAGGCCAATTGCGGCGCCGATGCTGATCACGCCGGTGACGGTGATGGTGTCCACGTGTCGGCGATGAAGGTTTTGGAAGGATTTCGGCACGCGTTTGGCATTCGACAGGGCTTGTGCCCCCCCAAACGCGCGGGCAAAAGGGCGTTCGGATGTTTTCGACACCCGCGCGCGAGAGGCCCGTTCGGTCGTGCTTTACTTGAAGAACCGATGGCTCCCCAAGGAGTTTACAAGAGCGCGATCCGCAGCCATTTTGGCTCAAGGCGTTCCCAGCCCAGGCCGCTCTTGCACCGCCTCTTCCCTCGGAAGTGCAGTGGATGGGGGTGTCGGCCCCGGCAGAAGAGGGGGCGGAGCCGCTCCAGCGCGCGGGCGACGGAACTGCTCTCGCGGGCCGTGCCGCTGTGGTCTTTGGGGCCCGCCCTGCGCGCGCCACGGGCTCCCCCGCCGCCGCCGTGGCAGGCTCCGTGCTGGCGCGGGGGCTGGTGCCCTGTGAGCCTCGCGTCCCGGCCCTGGACCTTGCCGCGGTCGCCGCGGACCGCGCCCGCGCCTGCGAGCCCGAGGTGGCGCCCTTCCTCCAGGGCCACCCGCCGCGCAAGGAGGTGGTGCGCGCGGCGCCTGAGCAGCGAGGTCCTGGCCTCGGGGCGCTGGCCCTCCAGCGTTTCGGGGGGCACGTCCTCGAGGGGTTGGCCGCGCGGCGCCTGCAGGGGCGCGGCCCCGCCACGGAGTCGCTGCTATTCCCGGGCCTGACCGTGGCGAGCCCGCGGCGCGCGGGCGGCGGCGGGAAGGCGGCGCTCGGGGGCGCGGCGAGCTCCAGCACCGCGGCCACGGACGCCGGGGCAGCCTGGTCGCCGCCTGCAGTGCCGTGGGCGGCAGGTGGGGAGGCGCAGTGACTACCTCGTTGGCTGCTTCATCAACTTGTGGCGCTCCACTTCGGGCGGCTGGGCGCCGTTGTTCTTGTTCTCTCGTCGGCTGCGGGTGTCACTTCACCCGATGCGGAAGAGCGATCTCCTAATTCAATGGTGAGCTCATGACGCGCGGCTCACGGACACCGACCTATGAGCGGCCGTCGGAAGTGACCTTTCGTGATGGCCCATTTCTCGCGCCAGCGGTTTCGCTCCTTTATGCATACGACGGGGGACCTGGTCCGGGGGCCGGGGGCCACGACCACGACCGCAAATGTCGAGCCAGGGCGTCGTTTTTCTGTGTTTTTATTTGGTTTCGGCGACCCGGGGCCAACAGGGCCCCAAGAGGCTGCAGGGAGGCCTCAGGAGGCCGCAGCGATGGTTCCAGATGCCTTTCAAGACGACTCCCATGACGCCAAGAAGGCCCCCGAAGGCCCCGAAAACGGCCCAAGAGGCGCCCCGAGAGAGGCCCAATAAGCAACAATCGTCGATTTCCTAAGGATAAGCTGCTATTTTTGGCGTGTTTGCCTTTTGGGCGTCCACTGTTTCCAAGACGGCCCAAGCAAGAGGCACCGAAGCCGGTCGAGGATGCCCCCAAGAGGGCCCCAAGACGGCCCAAGAAGGTGCCAGGACGGCCCACGAGGCGCCCAAGCCGCCCAAGAACGCTTCAAGGCTGCGCCCCAGACGGGGACGAGGAACCGGAAATTCTCGCTTTTTGGCCCAAGAGACCCCCAGGAGACCCCAAGAGGCTCCGAGAAGGGGCCCTAAAGCCCCAAGAGGCCCCCATGAGACCCGAAACAACAAAAGAGGTTTCGAAGGCGCCCCAAGAGGCACCCCGAGAGTGGCCCAATATGCAGAAATTCTCGACTTCCTCTAGGGAACTGAGATTTTTGGCGTGTTTGCCTTTTGGGCGTCCTCTGCGTCCAAGACGGCCCAAGAGGCACCCAAGCCGGTCGAGGATGCCCCCAAGAAGGCCCCAAGAGGGCCCGCCCACAAGGGGGCCAAGACGGCCCACGAGACGCCTAAATCGCCCAAGAACGGCCCAAGGCGGCGTCCCCAAGGAACCGGAAATTCTGGCCTTCTCGCCCAAGAGGCCCCCAGGAGACCCCAAGAGGCTCCAAGAAGCGCCCCAGAAGCCCCAAGAGGCCCCCCTGAGACCAGAAAAAACACCAAAAGAGGCTGCGAAGACGCCCCAAGAGGCACCCCAATAGAGCCCCTATATAAGCAAACCTCGTCTTGAATAGAGCAGTGTGGTCGCCCCGTCCTTCCTTCCTTCCTTCTCCTCCCCTCTCCTCCCCTCCCCTCTCCTCTTCCTTCGTGCCGCCGGGCTGCGATCTGCGCCACTGTCGCCACTTTCGTTGGCTCCTGGGAGGCCCAGCGAAGGTGGGTCCGTGCACGCAGATCACGTCGGTACCTCGCCGCCCCCTGGGTGGCTTGCGATCTGCGCAGTTGTCGCCACTTTCGTGGGCTCCTGGGAGGCCCAGCGGAGGTGGGTCCCACGCGGATCACCTCGATACCTCGCCGCCCCCTGGGTGGCTTGCGATCTGCGCAATTGTCGCCACTTTCGTGGGCCTCCCACCAGCGGAGGTGGGTCCCACGCGGATCACCTCGGTACCTCGCCGCCCCCTGGGGGGCTTGCGATCTGCGCATCTGTCGCCACTTTCGTGGGCTCTTGGGAGGCCCAGCGGAGGTGGGCCCCACGCAGATCACGTCGGTACCTCGCCGCCCCCTGGGGGGCTTGCGATCTGCGCAATTGTCGCCACTTTCGTGGACTCCTGGGAGGCCCAGCAGAGGTGGGTCCCACGCGGATCACGTCGGTACCTCGCCGCCCCCTGGGGGGCTTGCGATCTGCGCAACCGTCGCCACTTTCGTGGGCTCCTGGGAGGCCCAGCGGAGGTGGGTCCCACGCGGATCACCTCGGTACTTCGCCGCCCCCTGGGGGGCTTGCGATCTGCCCAACTGTCGCCACTTTCGTGGGCTCTTGGGATGCCCAGCGGAGGTGGGTCCCACGCGGATCACCTCGGTACCTCGCCGCCCCCTGGGGGGCTTGCGATCTGCGCAACTGTCGCCATTTTCGTGGGCTCCTGGGAGGCCCAGCGAAGGTGGGCCCCACGCAGATCACCTCGGTACCTCGCCGCCCCCTGGGTGGCTTGCGATCTGCGCAATTGTCGCCACTTTCGTGGGCTCCTGGGAGGCTCAGCGGAGGTGGGTCCCACGCGGATCACGTCGGTACCTCGCCGCCCGTGGGGGCTTGCGATCTGCGCCGCTGTCGCAACTTTTGTGGGCTCCTGGGAGGCCCAGCGGAGGTGGGTCCCACGCGGATCACCTCGGTACCTCGCCGCCCCTTGGGGGGCTTGCGATCCGCGCAACTGTCGCCACTTTCGTGGGCTCCTGGGAGGCCCAGCGGAGGTGGGTCCCACGCGGATCACGTCGGTACCTCGCCGCCCGTGGGGGCTTGCGATCTGCGCGCTGTCGCCGCTTTCGTGGGCTCCTGGGAGGCCCAGCGGAGGTGGGTCCCACGCGGATCACCTCGGTACCTCGCCGCCCCCTGGGGGGCTTGCGATCTGCGCAATTGTCGCCACTTTCGTGGACTCCTGGGAGGCCCAGCGAAGGTGGGCCCGTGCACGCAGATCACGTCGGTACCTCGCCGCCCCCTGGAGGGCTTGCGATCTGCGCGCTGTCGCCACTTTCGTGGGCTCCTGGGAGGCCCAGCGGAGGTGGGTCCCACGCGGATCACCTCGGTACCTCGCCGCCCGTGGGGGCATGCGATCTGCGCAGTTGTCGCCACTTTCGTGGGCTCCTGGGAGGTTCAGCGGAGGTACGTCATACGCGGATCACCTCGGTACCTCGCCGCCCCTGGGGGGCTTGCGATCTGCGCAACTGTCGCCACTTTCGTTGGCTCTTGGGATGCCCAGCGGAGGTGGGTCCCACGCGGATCACCTCGGTACCTCGCCGCCCCCTGGGGGGCTTGCGATCTGCGCAATTGTCGCCACTTTCGTGGACTCCTGGGAGGCCCAGCGGAGGTGGGTCCCATGCGGATCACCTCGGTACCTCGCCGCCCCCTGGGGGGGCTGCGATCTGCGCCGCTGTCGCCACTTTCGTGGGCCCTTGGAGGCCCAGCGAAGGTGGGTCCTACGCGGATCACCTCGGTACCTCGCCGCCCCCTGGGGGGCTTGCGATCTGTGCAACTGTCGCCACTTTCACCACGGTACCTCGCCGCCCCTGGAGGGCTTGCGATCTGCGCAGTTGTCGCCACTTTCGTGGGCTCCTGTGAGGCCCAGCGGAGGTACGCCATACCCGGTACCGCGGGACTTCTTGCTGCGCTCTTCTGAAAGCATTGTTGGGTGCTCTTTCTGCGCACTGCGGGTCCTTCAGAATGCCAATCAGCATTGAGTGGTCCTGAGTATAATCGCCACATGTATAGAAAGGGTTGTGTACGTCACAGGGTATTGTTTTGCGCGTTCGCCTTTGGGGCTTCCACTGCGTCCAAGACGGCCCAAGAGGCACCCAAGACGGTCGAGGATGCCCCCAAGAGGGCTCCAAGACGGCCCACGAGGGGGCCAAGACGGCCCCCGAGGCGCGCAAACCGCCCAACAACGCCTCAAGTCGGCGCCCAAGACGGGGACGAGGAACCGAAAATGCGAGCCATTTGGCCCAAGAGGCCCCCAGGAGACTCCAAGAGGCTCCAAGAGGCGCCCAAGAAGCCCCAAGAGGTCCCCAAGAGACTCGCAAACACACAAAAAAAGCCATCGAACACGCCCCAAGAGGCACCCCAATAGAGCCCGAATAAGCAAACATCGTCGATTTCCGATCGGAAAGCTGCTATTTTTGGCGTGTTCGCCTTTCGGGCTTCCACTGCGTCCAAGACGGCCCAAGAGGCACCCAAGCCGGTCGAGGATGCCCCCAAGAGGGCTCCAAGACGGCCCACGAGGGGGCCAAGACGGCCCCCGAAGCGCGCAAACCGCCCAACAACGCCCCAAGTCGGCGCCCGAGACGGGGACGAGGAACCGAAAATGCGAGCCATTTGGCCCAAGAGGCCCCCAGGAGACTCCAAGAGGCTCCAAGAGGCGCCCAAGAAGCCCCAAGAGGTCCCCAAGAGACTCGCAAACACACAAAAAAAGCCATCGAACACGCCCCAAGAGGCACCCCAATAGAGCCCGAATAAGCAAACATCGTCGATTTCCGATCGGAAAGCTGCTATTTTTGGCGTGTTCGCCTTTCGGGCTTCCACTGCGTCCAAGACGGCCCAAGAGGCACCCAAGCCGGTCGAGGATGCCCCCAAGAGGGCTCCAAGACGGCCCACGAGGGGGCCAAGACGGCCCCCGAAGCGCGCAAACCGCCCAACAACGCCCCAAGTCGGCGCCCGAGACGGGGACGAGGAACCGAAAATGCGAGCCATTTGGCCCAAGAGGCCCCCAGGAGACTCCAAGAGGCTCCAAGAGGCGCCCAAGAAGCCCCAAGAGGTCCCCAAGAGACTCGCAAACACACAAAAAAAGCCATCGAACACGCCCCAAGAGGCACCCCAATAGAGCCCGAATAAGCAAACATCGTCGATTTCCGATCGGAAAGCTGCTATTTTTGGCGTGTTCGCCTTTCGGGCTTCCACTGCGTCCAAGACGGCCCAAGAGGCACCCAAGCCGGTCGAGGATGCCTCCAAGAGGGCTCCAAGACGGCCCACGAGGGGGCCAAGACGGCCCCCGAGGCGCGCAAACCGCCCAACAACGCCCCAAGTCGGCGCCCGAGACGGGGACGAGGAACCGAAGATTCGAGCGTTTTGGCCCAAGAGGCCCCCAGGAGACGCCAAGAGGCTCCAAGAAGTGCCCAAGAAGCCCCAAGAGGCCCCCATGAGACTCGAAAAAACACCAGCAGAGGCCCTGGAACAGCCCCCCAAGGGGCCTGCGGTGCCTCAAGCAGGTGTTGTCACTGGAGTCCGCACTTGCCTGAGAAACTCGAAACATAGTTTCGCACAGCGATTCATGTGTCTGTGACGCGCTAGAACCGAAGCGCGCGCGTGGTTCTTATATATATATAAATATATATGTATTTCTTTTTTTTGTTTTCTTCTCTCTCTCTCTCTCTATATATATATGTATATACCGCCCCCTCTGGCCCCGGGTCCCATACCTCTCCGTCACATCTCGGGGACGCTCCCGGGACCGCTCCCCCAGCCTTTCCGGGGAGCCTCCACAGCGCTCCAGGAGGGCCCAAGACGCCCCCCAGGAGCCCCCAGAATGCGAAAGGATGGCCCAAGACGCTCCCGAGCATC